AGAATACACCTTGGACCCTTCATCTTTTACACCACCTATGCTCGTCTAAACATTATTCTCAACATACATGATCTTTCCTTAGTCTTCAACTACACCAACACACCAACATACCTACTAGCTGATATGAATGCCAAACACAGCGCCTTTCATCACACCAGTAACAACCAACTTGGTCACCAATTACTCAGCTTCACAAACCATAAACACCTAGTTCACCTCGGCCCAGACTTCAACACCTTCCACAACCACACTGGCTAAGGCAAACCCGACATCATTCTGGCAAACCGAGCCAGCTCTCTCTTTCAACACTACATATCACCTGGCCCTATTACAGGCTCTGATCACATTCCCGTCATCTTACACATCTCCTCCAACCCTATCCTCATCCCGGCCACACCTTCCTTCTCCTACAAGAACGCTGACTGGGATGCTTTCAAACAACACATAGATAATACTAACCTCATCTATGACTACAACAACAAACCCATCTCTGACACTGACTCTCAACTTGCTCTCATCCAGGACACCATTACACAAGCAGCCAACACTACAATACCAAAGAAAGCCCACACTACTCGTTATTCCTTCAAACCCTCAATCAGAACAAGAAGACTAATTATCTGCTACCACAACCGCTTCCTCTACAACACACAGAGATTTAATCAATTCCGATTAGATCTCACTTACCTCAGAAACAGCATTCTACATAGTCTAGATCAAGACCACAACAATCACTGGTCACAGCTCATACTACAAGTGGACAAACAGTGTATCAAAAACACCAAAGCCTTCTGGAACTTTATCAAAAAAATTAGAGGCACCACTCCCACCAACAAATTCAAACACATCACCCACAACAACACACACATCTCAGACCCGCAGGCTGCTACTAACATCTTCAAACACATCTGGGAGAACATCTTCCACCCTCACCCACCTCACCCTAACACTATCCAACACATTCAGAACATTGAACACTGGAACACTACACACACACACACGAAACAACACCAGACAACCACATCCATCTGGGCTCTCTTACCTTCTCCTAAGAACTTGACACTCCTTTCACAATATATGAGCGGAGAAGTGGCTTATATACTGTAGGCAGGAGAGGTGCAGCAGTCTGAGGTGGTGACACATTTGTCCATGTGGAAGTAGGTCGTGCCCAAGGGTTAGGCAAGTGAAGAATTCCCAAGTATTAAGATCCCACTTCTCCGCTCATATGCGGTATTTTGTTCAAGATTGATGGACTGACCACATCGATTCAAGGTTGAGGGACTGATTACCTCATTCTCCTCCTGCTTTTCACGATTCTCCTTTGTATAGACTGATGAAGCCACTGTGTGGCGAAACGTTTCCTCAATAAAAATACCCAAGAGTTGCACATGTGTCTATTTTATCAACATGTCGGTTCTACGAACCATTCATCTACACAAAAAGGAGAAATGGAAGACCATACAGCCAGGGTCTGAGGGAAGCTCTAAGCTTCCAGATTATTTGGAAAGATGACAGGGAGAACTGGAAGGCCATACAGCCAGAGTCTGAGGGAAGCTCTAAGCTTCCAGATTATTTGGAAAGATGACAGGGAGAACTGGAAGGCCATACAGCCAGAGTCTGAGGGAAGCTCTAAGCTTCCAGATTATTTGGAAAGACAACAGGGAGAACTGGAAGGCCATACAGCCAGGGTCTGAGGGAAGCTCTAAGCTTCCAGATTATTTGGAAAGATGACAGGGAGAACTGGAAGGCCATACAGCCAGAGTCTGAGGGAAGCTCTAAGCTTCCAGATTATTTTGAAAGAGAACAGGGAGAACTGGAAGGCCATACAGCCAGGGTCTGAGGGAAGCTCTAAGCTTCCGGATTATTTTAAGCTTGACCAATTTTAAGGATATTTTACGTTAATATGCAGCTGTAAGGCTGCGTAACAGTGACACGAGAAATAAAGGAATACATTGGCTGTTAAAACACTTGTAGATGAATGGTTCAGACAACTGACGAGTTGATAAATTAGACACATGTGTAACACTTGGGTATCTTTAATGAGGAAACGTTTCGCCACACAGTGGCTTCATCAGTCCATACAGAGGAGAATGGTGAATAAGAGGAGGACTCAAGGCTAAGGGAATGATTACCTCAAACTCCTCCTGTTCTCCACCATTCTCCTGTATTGCACATGTGTCTAATTTATCTAATAAAACACAGCCCTAAGTTTCCTATTAATCCTCAAGAGAATACAGACAAATCTGAAAATATTGCGATGCACAGCTGTGTTTCTGTCCTGACATCTGCTGATTTCTTGGCTGTGTAGGTGTTCCTGGGAACACCAGGTTGGCTAGAGCTTCGAACCGCTGACAGAAATCTTTTAAACTGTGTAAAAATATCCGCGATGGCTTTACGTTGTAACTGTCTCTGGTCTTCCCTTCTCCTATATGGGCCTACCCTACATAATTTACTTTATGAGACTCACTGGACCCATTATGTACCTGTGTAATCTGTAAATACCTTTGTAACTGATTATGATTGTGACCAGATCTACCTGGAGTTCATTACCTTTGTAACTTGCTCAGTTATGATAACTTTGGGGCCCAGTCCCTGGACCCATTATGTACCTCTGTAATGTTGAGGTACAGTCTCTGGACCCATTATGTACCTCTGTAATGTTGAGGTACAGTCCCTGGACCCATTATGTACCTCTGTAATGTTGAGGTACAGTCCCTGGACCCATTATGTACCTCTGTAATGTTGAGGTACAGTCCCTAGACCCATTATGTACCTCTGTAATGTTGAGGTACAGTCCCTGGACCCATTATGTACCTCTGTAATGTTGAGGTAGAGTCTCTGGACCCATTATGTACCTCTGTAATGTTGAGGTACAGTCCCTGGACCCATTATGTACCTCTGTAATGTTGAGGCACAGTCTCTGGACCCATTATGTACCTCTGTAATGTTGAGGTACAGTCCCTGGACCCATTATGTACCTCTGTAATGTTGAGGTACAGTCCCTGGGTCCATTATGTGCCTCTGTAATGTTGAGGTACAGTCCCTGGACCCATTATGTACCTCTGTAATGTTGAGGTACAGTCTCTGGACCCATTATGTACCTCGGTAATGTTGAGGTACAGTCACTGGACCCATTATGTACCTCTGTAATGTTGAGGTACAGTCCCTGGACCCATCATGTACCTCTGTAATGTTGAGATACAGTTTTGGACCCATTATGTACCTCTGTAATGTTGAGGTACAGTCCCTGGACCCATTATGTACCTTTGTAATGTTGAGGTACAGTCCCTGGACCCAGTATGTACCTCTATAATCTTTTAACTACCGGCCACAGGATGGGTATGGGGTGACTACCTCCGACAGGATGGGTATGGGGTGATTACCGCCCACAGGATGGGTATGGGGTGACTATCGCCCACAGGATGGGTATGGGGTGACTATCGCCCACAGGATGGGTATGCTGTGACTACCGCCCACAGGATGGGTATGGGGTGACTACCGCTCACAGGATGGGTATGGGTGACTCGCTCACAGGTTGGGTATGGGGTGACTACCGCCCACAAGATGGGTATGGGGTGACTACCGCCCATAGGATGGGTATGGGGTGACTACCGCCCACAGGATGGGTATACGGGGACTACCGCCCACACTATAGGTATGGGGTGACTACCGCCCACACTATGGGTATGGGGTGACTACCGCCCACACTATTGGTATTGAGCGACTACCGCCCACGGGATGGGTATGGGTGACTCGCTCACAGGATGGGTATGGGGTGACTAACGCCTACACTATGAGTATGGGGTGACTACCGCCCACAGAATGGGTATGGGGTGACTACCGCCCACGGGATGGGTATGAGTGACTTGCTCACAGGATGGGTATGGAGTGACTAACGCCTACACTATGAGTATGGGGTGACTACCGCCCACAGAATGGGTATGGGGTGACTACCGCCCACACTATGGGTATGGGGTGACTACCGCCCACACTATGGGTATGGGGTGACTACCGCCCACACTATGGGTATGGGGTGACTACCGCCCACACTATTGGTATGAGGTGACTACCGCCCACGGGATGGGTATGAGTGACTCGCTCACAGGATGGGTATGGAGTGACTAACGCCTACACTATGAGTATGGGGTGACTACCGCCCACAGAATGGGTATGGGGTGACTACCGCCCACACTATGGGTATGGGGTGACTACCGCCCACACTATGGGTATGGGGTGACTACCGCCCACACTATGGGTATGGGGTGACTACCGCCCACACTATTGGTATTGGGTGACTACCGCCCACGGGATGGGTATGGGTGACTCGCTCACAGGATGGGTATGGGGTGACTACCGCCCACACTATGGGTATGGGGTGACTACCGCCCACACTATTGGTATGGGGTGACTACCGCCCACGGGATGGATATGGGTGACTCGCTCACAGGATGGGTATGGAGTGACTAACGCCTACACTATGAGTATGGGGTGACTACCGCCCACAGGATGGGTATGGGGTGACTACCGCCCACACTATGGGTATGGGGTGACTACCGCCCACAGGATGGGTATGGGGTGACTACCGCCCACACTATGGGTATGGGGTGACTACCGCCCACGGGATGGGTATGGGGTACATCATAAATATGTTAACCTAACTGCAACCCACTTCAAACACTAGTGGCGCCAGGATATAAGGAAGCGTCTCCACTGACAGGAACTTATCAGAAGTACCATTTAACATACACCATTTAGCTTCCATTATTGGAAGTAATCAACTTATAATTTTCACTGTTGTTTACACTTGAAGATGTAACCAGTTGCTTGTTTAAGAATAATGTTGTACTTGACAGAGTGAGGACGAAGCTTACAGGAAGGATATACCCGGGAGAGCGTATCAAATGTTCTCTCCAAAACAAGGACCTAACAGTATGAGTGAAGACAGAGACTGGGGGAAGTTAGAAAGTATATCAGTCAGTTTTCCCTAAACAAGGACCTACCAGTGAGAGTGAAGACGGAGAGCTCAGAAGAGAAGGTACTGATGAATCCAGCTAACTGACAGAGAGAAGATGTCCTCCAGGAGAGCTCATAGGCAGCATACACACCTCGGTACCTCAGGTCCACAGCAGCAACAATTAACAGGTAGACACCCATCAGGAGGTCACCCACACCCAGGTTCACGATCAGGAACGAGTGCATCTGCCAGAGAAAAGAGGTCGCCTTTATTAATGACGGTTAGATACGTTTCTAAAAAATGCGAGAATAATAAACGTTATGTAGATATATGGTCCAGAAAATGACAAGTTGATACATTAGACACATGTGCAACACTTGGGTACCTTGTGGACACGGTGGCTTCCTCAGTCTATTACTAAGAAGAGGGACTGATTACCTCAAACTCCGTCTGATCTTCAATCTTTTTCTTTGTAATGGACTGATGAAGCCACTGGCGAAACATATCCTCAGTGAAGATACCCAAGTGTTTCACATGTGTCTAATTTATCAATAAAGATTATATTTCCCAGAGATCAAGTTAAATCTCACAATGCTAAGTTGACAAATTTGTTCAGAAATCTGTGATTTATAAAGACACGGGACATCACTTGTGTGGGATAAATAATATCACAAACACTACAAAGAAATCTCTGTTAATATCGTTTACTTCCTTATTTACTAACATACACAGGTTCCAGCTTACCTTACTCATCCACCAAACTCATCCACCTCTGCAACTTCTCTTCAGAATCTCCCAAAAGCACAGTGTCATCAGCAAAGAGCAACTGTGACAACTCCCACTTTGTGTTAGATTCTTTATCTTTTAACCCCAAATCTCTTGCCAACACCCGAGCATTCACTATATATATATATATATATATTATATATATATATATATATATATATATATATATATATATATATATATATATATATCGCCTCATACGACACACATGTAAGCCATGCATGTCGTATTTTCTACAGGAAAAAGGGGTTACTAGCCCATTGCTCCCGGCATTTTAGTTGCCTCATACGACAAGCATGGCTTACGAAGGAGAGATTCTTATCCACTTCCCCATGGAGAATAGAGGAAATAAAGAAGAACAAGAACTATTAAGAAAAAGGAGAAAAACCTAGATGTATATAAGTATTTATATACCTGTGTAGTGTGACCAAAGTGTAAGTAGAAGTAGCAAGTTATCCATCGTGTTTATGAAACAGAAAAAAGACACCAGCAATCCCACCATCATGTAAAATTTTACAGGATTCTGTTTCACACTCACTTGATTGGAAGGTAGTACCTCCCTGGGTGGTTGCTGTCTACCAACCTACTACCACAGGATGGTAGTACCTCCCTGGGTGGTTGTTGTCTACCAACCTACTACCACAGGATGGTAGTACCTCCCTGGGTGGTTGCTGTCTACCAACCTACTACCACAGGATGGTAGTACCTCCCTGGGTGGTTGCTGTCTACCAACCTACTACCACAGGATGGTAGTACCTCCCTGGGTGGTTGTTGTCTACCAGCCTACTACCACAGGATGGTAGTACCTCCCTGGGTGGTTGTTGTCTACCAACCTACTACCACAGGATGGTAGTACCTCCCTGGGTGGTTGTTGTCTACCAACCTACTACCACAGGATGGTAGTACCTCCCTGGGTGGTTGTTGTCTACCAGCCTACTACCACAGGATGGTAGTACCTCCCTGGGTGGTTGTTGTCTACCAGCCTACTACCACAGGATGGTAGTACGTACCTCCCTGGGTGGTTGTTGTCTACCAGCCTACTACCACAGGATGGTAGTACGTACCTCCCTGGGTGGTTGTTGTCTACCAACCTACTAGCACAGGATGGTAGTACCTCCCTGGGTGGTTGTTGTCTACCAACCTACTAGCACAGGATGGTAGTACCTCCCTTGGTGGTTGTTGTCTACCAGCCTACTACCACAGGATGGTAGTACGTACCTCCCTGGGTGGTTGTTGTCTACCAACCTACTACCACAGGATGGTAGTACCTCCCTGGGTGGTTGTCTACCAGCCTACTACCACAGGATGGTAGTACCTCCCTGGGTGGTTGCTGTCTACCAGCCTACTACCACAGGATGGTAGTACCTCCCTGGGTGGTTGTTGTCTACCAACCTACTACCACAGGATAGTAGTACCTCCCTGGGTGGTTGTTGTCTACCAGCCTACTACCACAGGATGGTAGTGCCTCCCTGGGTGGTTGTTGTCTACTAACCTACTACCACAGGATGGTAGTACCTCCCTGGGTGGTTGTTGTCTACCAGCCTACTACCACAGGATGGTAGTACCTCCCTGGGTGGTTGTTGTCTACCAACCTACTACCACAGGATGGTAGTACCTCCCTGGGTGGTTGTCTACCAACCTACTACCACAGGATGGTAGTACCTCCCTGGGTGGTTGTTGTCTACCAGCCTACTACCACAGGATGGTAGTACCTCCCTGGGTGGTTGTTGTCTACCAACCTACTACCACAGGATGGTAGTACCTCCCTGGGTGGTTGTTGTCTACCAACCTACTACCACAGGATGGTAGTACCTCCCTGGGTGGTTGTCTACCAACCTACTACCACAGGATGGTAGTACCTCCCTGGGTGGTTGTTGTCTACCAGCCTACTACCACAGGATGGTAGTACCTCCCTGGGTGGTTGTTGTCTACCAACCTACTACCACAGGATGGTAGTACGTCCCTGGGTGGTTGTTGTCTACCAGCCTACTACCACAGGATGGTAGTACCTCGCTGGGTGGTTGTTGTCTACCAACCTACTACCACAGGATGGTATTACCTCCCTGGGTGGTTGTTGTCTACCAACCTACTACCACAGGATGGTAGTACCTCCCTGGGTGGTTATTGTCTACCAGCCTACTACCACAGGATGGTAGTACCTCGCTGGGTGGTTGTTGTCTACCAACCAACTACCACAGGATGGTAGTACCTCCCTGGGTGGTTGTTGTCTACCAACCTACTACCAGAGGATGGTAGTACCTCCCTGGGTGGTTGCTGTCTACCAACCTACTACCACAGGATGGTATTACCTCCCTGCGTGGTTGTTGTCTACCAACCTACTACCACAGGATGGTAGTACCTCCCTGGGTGGTTGTTGTCTACCAACCTACTACCACAGGATGGTAGTACCTCTCTGGGTGGTTGTTGTCTACCAACCTACTATCACAGGATGGTAGTACCTCCCTGGGTGGTTGTTGTCTACCAACCTACTACCACAGGATTGTAGTACCTCCCTGGGTGGTTGTTGTCTACCAACCTACTACCACAGGATGGTAGTACCTCCCTGGGTGGTTGTCTACCAACCTTCTACCACAGGACGGTAATACCTCCCTGGGTGGTTGCTGTCTACCAACCTTCTACCACAGGATGGTAATACCTCCCTGGGTGGTTGCTGTCTACCAACCTACTACAACAGGATGGTAGTACCTCCCTGGGTGGTTGTTGTCTACCAACCTACTACCACAGGATGTTAGTACCTCCCTGGGTGGTTGTTGTCTACCAACCTACTACCACAGGATGGTAGTACCTCCCTGTGTGGTTGCCGTCTACCAACCTACTACCACAGGATGGTAGTACCTCCCTGGGTGGTTGCTGTCTACCAACCTACCACCACAGGATGGTAGTACCTCCCTGGGTGTTTGCTGTCTACCAACCTACTACCACAGGATGGTAGTACCTCCCTGGGTGGTTGCTGTATACCAACGTTCTACCACAAGATGGTAGTACCTTCCTGGGTGGTTGCTGTATACCAACCTACTACCACAGGATGGTAGTACCTCCCTGGGTGGTTGCTGTATACCAACCTACTACCACAGGATGGTAGTACCTCCCTGGGTGGTTGTTGTCTACCAACCTACTAGCACAGGATTGTAGTACCTCCCTGGGTGGTTGTCTACCAACCTACTACCACAGGATGGTAGTACCTCCCTGGGTGGTTGCTGTATAACAACCTACTACCACAAGATGGTAGTACCTCCCTGGGTGGTTGCTGTATACCAACCTACTACCACAAGATGGTAGTACCTCCCTGGGTGGTTGCTGTATACCAACCTACTACCACAGGATGGTAGTACCTCCCTGAGTGGTTGTTGTCTAGCAACCTACTAGCACAGGATGGTAGTACCTCCCTGGGTGGTTGTCTACCAACCTACTACCACAGGATGGTAGTACCTCCCTGGGTGGTTGTTGTCTACCAACCTACTACCACAGGATGGTAGTACCTCCCTGGGTGGTTGTCTACCAACCTACTACCACAGGATGGTAGTACCTCCCTTGGTGGTTGCTGTCTACCAACCTACTACCACAGGATGGTAGTACCTCCCTGGGTGGTTGTCTACCAACCTACTACCACAGGATGGTAGTACCTCCCTGGGTGGTTGTTGTCTACCAACCTACTACCACAGGATGGTAGTACCTCCCTGGGTGGTTGTCTACCAACCTACTACCACAGGATGGTAGTACCTCCCTTGGTGGTTGCTGTCTACCAACCTACTACCACAGGATGGTAGTACCTCCCTGGGTGGTTGTCTACGAACCTACTACCACAGGATGGTAGTACCTCCCTGGGTGGTTGTTGTCTACCAACCTACTACCATAGGATGGTAGTACCTCCATGGGTGGTTGCTGTCTACCAACCTACTACCACAGGATGGTAGTACCTCCCTGGGTGGTTGTTGTCTACCAACCTACTACCACAGGATGGTAGTACCTCCCTGGGTGGTTGTTGTCTACCAACCTACTACCACAGGATGGTAGTACCTCCCTGGGTGGTTGTTGTCTACCAACCTACTACCACAGGATGGTAGTACCTCCCTGGGTGGTTGTTGTCTGCCAACCTACTACCACAGGATGGTAGTACCTCCCTGGGTGGTTGTTGTCTACCAACTTACTACCAGAGGATGGTAGTACCTCCCGGGGTGGGTGCTGTCTACGAACCTACTACCACAGGATGGTAGTACCTCCCTGGGTGGTTGTCTACCAACCTACTACCACAGGATGGTAGTACCTCCCTGGGTGGTTGTCTACCAACCTACTACCACAGGATGGTAGTACCTCCCTGGGTGGTTGTTGTCTACCAACCTACTACCACAGGATGGTAGTACCTCCCTGGGTGGTTGTTGTCTACCAACCTACTACCACAGGATGGTAGTACCTCCCTGGGTGGTTGTTGTCTACCAACCTACTACCACAGGATGGTAGTACCTCCATGGGTGGTTGTTGTCTACCAACCTACTACCACAGGATGGTAGTACCTCCATGGGTGGTTGTTGTCTACCAACCTACTACCACAGGATGGTAGTACCTCCCTGGGTGGTTGTTGTCTACCAAGCTACTACCACAGGATGGTAGTACCTCCCTGGGTGGTTGTTGTCTACCAGCCTACTACCACAGGATGGTAGTACCTCCATGGGTGGTTGTTGTCTACCAACCTACTACCACAGGATGGTAGTACCTCCATGGGTGGTTGTTCTCTACCAACCTACTACCACAGGATGGTAGTACCTCCATGGGTGGTTGTTGTCTGCCAACCTACTACCACAGGATGGTAGTACCTCCATGGGTGGTTGTTGTCTACCAACCTACTACCACAGGATGGTAGTACCTCCCTGGGTGGTTGCTGTCTACGAACCTACTACCACAGGATGGTAGTACCTCCATGGGTGGTTGCTGCTGAGCTGTGATGTAACAGGGTATGGTCTCCTCTGGAACGGTGAAGCAGTCATCGTAAGAGTCGCTGCAGGTTTCACTCAACCTGGGGCACATGCTGGTGCCCTCGAGTGAGGCGTCGTCAAAACTCGGCAACTGGGCAGGACTTCTGGCAAGCAACTCAGGAGGACACTTCTCGACTGGTACTGTCGCTGGGCTGTCATTGCCGGTGAGCGTGGAGTCGTGGCAGAGACGACTCGGCGAAATATCTAGGAGTCTTAACATCATACACCAGACTGCAGTGAGCGAGCTAGCAAAGTGACATCTTTGTGCAGGAGCTCACTGAAGCGTGTGACACGAGGCTGACAGCACCTGCCGACAGGGCTTAAACTGCGGCTTGATGAGTTTCATTCTCTCGACAGTTGGAGTTATAGCAGAGGTTAGTCTAAGCATCCCCAGACTTGTTTCTCTACATATAACTGCACTCTGACGGTCTGGAGGTGAAGTGAAACAAATCTCGATGGGAATCGTAGCAGGTACGATTCTGCAGAACATCTATGAGTGACGAGCATAAGAGCTTTCTGGATAAGGGGCTCATATGCTCAAGCTGACTAATATCAGCTGTCAAATGCACTGGTCACACCGAGTGACAAGTAACACAGTGGTGCTACTCTAGGGTCTGTGCTCAAGACCACACTGGACACATGGAAAACTTTACACACACCCGCGATACATGCGACACAACATGGCTTAATCTAGCAAATGATGCTTTTCTGTGCACAAAATTGACACTAAGCCATACACTAACATGTGAGAACACTAACTGAGAGGAATTAATTAACACACGACATGTATCTTCTCTCAATCTTCTCGATAATACTGACATAATTACTGAAACACTCGATGTGACATCATGTGATGTAGGCATGATATCGTGAGGTGATGTCAGCAGCATGGTGACGTCATCAGACGTCTGGAGGTGACGTCAGGCAGACATCGTGACGTCATGAAGTCGGGCAGAAGCAGACCAGAGCATGTGGCCTGGGACATCTGGCTCGGTAACTCACCTGGCTTGTAGATCCTCCTGGCTTCGTCCACACCCATGAGGCGTTGGGATCCACGTTGCATTGTGATCTACATGGCATGCTGATCCACATAGCTTCGAGTGGCCTCAGATGTTTTCACATGGAAAACATCAGAAAACACAGCAGAGGGAGTGATGGCATGGTGGTGTATGGTAGTGTGGTGGCGAGGAGGGTGGGTGAGTGTATGGCGAGGGAGGATCTGATCACTTCCTCCTCTCCCACCCACAAACACGGAGACACGCACACTGGATGCAGAAATCATCACAAAACTCACCTCTGGCTTGCTGAAATAGCTGTGCTGAGCTGAACAACAACAACAGCAGAACATACAAGAGATGTTGAACACGTGACTTGAGAAACAGTGTGGGACGCTGTCGCGTGGGGTCACTTAGAATTCTCGAAGGAATTCGGTAAATTTCGGCTAGATCCTGCTTGTACCTGTGTCTGGATGCTGAAACGTGCAGACATGACACCAGGATAACTCGTTGAGAGACGGATGTGTCTTGCGTTGGGTGATGAAGTATCACAATTTCATTCTATTTCCTTCCTCTCTCCGGGCAAACACAACTGCTGTGACCACCGCTGCTACCAATGTGAAACATGACTTTATTGGTGTAATGCAGTGGCGTGGAGTCAATTATATGGTTGCAGAGGGTTCTTGCTTTGCAAAGTCGTGGTGGGTACACAGGCTTGTGTGTTTGTGCCCATGGCCCGGGAGGACCATGCCCATGAGGGAGAGAGGGAGTAGACTTGTTGTCTGAGTCTGGGCCGCTGAGTGAGTGAGAGCGAGTGGGACCAGCATCCCACTGGCCTGGGCAGGCCTAGAGAAGGCAGCACCTGAGTGCCACAAAATATGAACTAAGCTGGCAGGCAGCATAGGCTGTCTGTGCAGATAGTACAGGCTGTCTACACATCGCCTTTGAGGTATCTAGTTCGCTTAGCAGCCTCTTCACTTCTTTCTCGGTTGTATGTATTGTGTCCAACACTTGATGGTGTACCCCACCTCTGTCAAGAGTCCCTTCTGTTGTCTCTGTGAACACTTCTTTGAATCTCATGTTGAGCTCCTCACATACTTTGTGGTCGCTTCTTGTGATCTCTCCTCATTCTTCCTCAGCCTGATTACCTGGTCCTTGACTCTTGTTCTCTTCCTGATGTGGCTGTACAACAGCTTCGGGTCAGATTTGGCTTTCCCTGCTATGTCATTTTCGTATTGTCGTTGGGCCTCCCTTCTGGCTCTACGACTGCTCTCCTCATTTTCCTGGGTCCTTTGCCTTCTATACGGTGATCTTCACACCAACTCCAACTTGTTGGTATTGTATACCGTTCACGTACAATTCGTTCTCCTTGCCATCACGATGTGTGTGTGTGTGTGTGTGTGTGTGTGTGTGTGTGTGTGTGTGTGTGTGTGTGTGTGTGTGTGTGTGTGTGTGTGTGTGTGTTAGTACAAGAAAAAAGGAAAAAGATTTCTACTGTATATCCTGACCTCGAACTGAGGTCTCCAGTCAGTAGTAATGATAAGAATCTCTGTTTTTCGACATGCATATTACTTTGAGGCTTCCCTAGCCTAACACGTGACCAGTGTCTGGATGCTCCACTGACACACACCAAGGCCTCACCTTGTTGCCACTGGAATAGATGCTCCTCCAGATGATGACAAAGGAGTTACCGAGGAGAGCTATGAAGCCGAGGATCCAGATACACACCCGCAGCACCAGGTTGGACATCAGGTCCTCACAGGAGGAGAACTCGTCAGCCACTGGTAAACACTTCTCCACATGTCTTGCCAGGCAACACAGCCGCCACTCATCCGTCTCCCTGTCACCATAACAAGGTATAATGTTTAATTTAACACAGCAGATTGTATCATCAATGTACTGCTACCCAATTCCATATGACAGCAACATGATGGTAACAAAAGCTAGCTATGTCTCTATCATATTCCATTACATATAACATGGACTGAAATCTGTCAGCCAAAGCTTGAAGTCTGTTTTTATCACTGCAGTGATGCTGTTTTTAACACTGCAGCGATGCTGTTTTTAACACTGCAATAGTGCTGTTTTTAAATGATCATTGTGCTTTTGTCTCTTACCATTGTGTTGAAACAGCCTTTACCACTGCATTTTAACCACTTTTGACCAATGCAATTAAAGTTCCTATAACCGCTATGCTTCAACTATCTCCGTGTAGTGATACTGCTCCTGGAGGGAGCAGCAGCAGGACACAATACTGCACCACCTCTCAGTGGCCTTTAACAACAACAGAGTTCCTATAACCGCTATGCTTCAACTATCTCCGTGTAGTGATACTGCTCCTGGAGGGAGCAGCAGCAGGACACAATACTGCACCACCTCTCAGTGGCCTTTAACAACAACAAAGTTCCTATAACCGCTATGCTTCAACTATCTCCGTGTAGTGATACTGCTCCTGGAGGGAGCAGCAGCAGGACACAATACTGCACCACCTCTCAGTGGCCTTTAACAACAACAACAAAGTAGTCGATGCTAGCAGCTCAGCTCTCGTTGTGTTGTTTCTCTTATACAGATATGCTGATGATGCAGATTACATGGTGAGCTTAAAATATGTGGCCAGTAGTTATAGCTTTATTTATTATTGCTTTATTTATTATTGCCTTTGTTGTTCCAGTCATGTACTATGGATTCTGTGTTTAATAAAGCCTAGAGATAAGGCCTGTTTTTCTATCACAGCACTCGCCTCAAGGGAGGTTCCTTGATGCTGGTGAGGGGCTCTTGATCTAGGGAATTGAATCTGTGCTCCAGTTCCCTGAATTGAGCCTGAATGCCTCCCATTTCCCCCCCCCCAACTGGCACTGTATAATCCTACGGGTTTAGCGCTCCCCCATGATTATAATTAAATATCACATCACTCAGACCATCTGTTTTAATTATCTTCTACCACTGTATTTAACAATTATTAACCACCGTAGTTTACCCCATGTTTTTCCAAAAGGTTTTAATAGGTTTTGTTAGGGTTTCTAACTAGTTTTATTTACAAGATAAGATCTCTTACCTACAGTAGCTTAATAGACAGGGAACAGGATGAAGTTGACAGCTGTATTTAAGCAGCTATTGAGCACTAGATTTTAAGTACAGGATATTTCACTATTAGGAGGACCTGAGTTAGTACTCGCGTAGTTGCAACTGTCTTGTTTGTATGTACTCACGTGGCTGTAATCGTGTTGTTCGTATGTACTCCCGTAGTTGCAACGATAACTCGGAGCTTCCTACAAGTACGAGGCCTCAGGTTATCGTTTACTACAGACATAATATACAAACAGGGCAGTTTCAACTACAGGAGTACATGCAAACAAGATGGTGGCGACTACGTGAGTACATGTAAACAAAATGGTTGCGACTACGTGAGTACATGTAAACAAAATGGTTGCGACTACGTGGGTACATGTAAACAAAATGGTTGCGACTACGTGAGTACATGTAAACAAAATGGTTGCGACTACGTGAGTACATGTAACAAATGGTTGCGACTACGTGAGTACATGTAAACAAAATGGTTGCGACTACGTGAGTACATGTAAACAAAATGGTTGCGACTACGTGAGTACATGTAAACAAAATGGTTGCGACTACGTGAGTAAACAAAATGGTTGCGACTACGTGAGTACATGTAAACAAAATGGTTGCGACTACGTGAGTAAACAAAATGGTTGCGACTACGTGAGTACATGTAAACAAAATGGTGGCGACTACGTGAGTACATGTAAACAAAATGGTGGCGACTACGTGAGTAAACAAAATGGTTGCGACTACGTGAGTACATGTAAACAAAATGGTTGCGACCACATGAGTACATGTAAACAAAATGGTTGCAACTAACGAGTACTTCTAACCACAGAATATCAACATACACATTAGAGTACTCACAGATGGTGAAGTCTGGGTATGTGATGGAAGAGCTGGTAACTCAGGGTCTCAATGGCGTTGTTCCTTAAATCTCTGCGGGGAGGAACAGAGAATTATAATGAGTACGGCTGGAGAACATTAGGATATGTTAGTGGACTGGTGTGGGTGGCATCCTGGGTGTTAGTGGACTGGTGTGGGTGGCATCCTGAGTGTTAGTGAACTGGTGTGTGTTGCATCCTGGGTGTTAGTGAACTGGTGTGGGTGGCATCCTGGGTGTTAGTGGACTGGTGTGGGTGGCATCATGGGTGTTAGTGGACTGGTGCGGGTGGCATCCTGGGTGTTAGTGGACTGGTGTGGGTGGCATCCTGGATGTTAGTGGACTGGTGTGGGTGGATCCTGGGGTTAGTGGACTGGTGTGTGTTGCATCCTGGGTGTTAGTGGACTGGTGTGGGTGGCATCCTGGGTGTTAGTGGACTGGTGTGGGTGGCATCCTGGATGTTAGTGGACTGGTGTGGGTGGCATCCTGGGTGTTAGTGGACTGGTGTGTGTTGCATCCTGGGTGTTAGTGGACTGGTGTGGGTGGCATCCTGGGTGTTAGTGGACTGGTGCGGGTGGCATCCTGGGTGTTAGTGGACTGGTGTGGGTGGCATCCTGGGTGTTGGTGAACTGGTGTGGGTGGCATCCTAGGTGTTAGTGGACTGGTGCGGGTGGCATCCTGGGTGTTAGTGGATTGGTGTGGGTGGCATCCTGGGTGTTAGTGGACTGGTATGGGTGGCATCCTGGGTCTTAGTGGACTGGTGTGGGTGGCATCTGGGTGTTAGTGGACTTGTGTAGGTGGCATCCTGGGTGTTAGTGGACTGGTGTGGGACGCATCCTGGGTGTTAGTGGACTGGTGTGGGTCGCTTCCTGCGTGTTAGTGGACCGGTGTGGGTCGCATCCTGAGTGTTAGTGGACTGGTGTGGGTCGCATCCTGGGTGTTAGTGGACTGGTGTGGGTGGCATCCTGGGTGTTAGTGGACTGGTATGGGTGGCATCCTGGGTCTTAATGGACTGGTGTGGGTGGCTTTCGGGTGTTAGTGGACTTGGTAGGTGGCATCCTGGGTGTTAGTGGACTGGTGTGGGTCGCATCCTGGGTGTTAGTGGACTGGTGTGGGTCGCATCCTGCGTGTTAGTGGACTGGTGTGGGTCGCATCCTGAGTGTTAGTGGACTGGTGTGGGTCGCATCTGGGTGTTAGTGGCGGTGTGGGTGGCATCCTGGGGGTTAGTGGATGGTGTGGGTGGCATCCTGGGTGTTAGTGGACTGGTGTGGGTGGCATCCGGGGTGTTAGTGGACTGGTGTGGGTGGCATCCTGGGTGTTAGTGGACTGGTGTGGGTGGCATCCTGGGTGTTAGTGGACTGGTGTGGGTGGCATCCTGGGTGTTAGTGGACTGGTGTGGGGGGCCCATCCTGGGTGTTAGTGGATGGTGTGGGTGGCATCCTGGGTGTTAGTGGACTGGTGTGGGTGGCATCCTGGATGTTAGTGGACTGGTGTGGGTGGCATCCTGGGACAAAACTGACCTAATTTTCGGGAAATGCTCAGCATAACAAGCAATCTTCTATAGAGTAGTATGTCACTGATGTCAAGTATGGTCTGTATACCTTGTACATGTACACCTTGTACATGTACTTGTATACCTTGTACATGTACTTGTATACCTTGTACATGTACTTGTATACCTTGTAATGTATTTGATACCTTGTACATGTACTTGTATACCTTGTACATGAAACTTGTATACCTTTTTAAAATGTACTTGTATACCTTGTACATGTACTTGTATACCTTGTACATGGACTTGTATACCTTGTACATGCACTTGTATACCTTGTACATGTACTTGTATACCTGTACTGCATTTGATACCTTGTTCATGTACTTGATACTTGTACATGCACTTGTATCCCTTGTACATGTACTTGTTAAAACCTTGTACATGTACTTGAAATACCTTGTACATGGTATGGTAAAACCTTGTAATGTATTTGGTTACCTTGTACATGTACTTGTATACCTGTACATGTACTTGTATACCTTGTACATGTACTTGTATCCTTGTACATGTACTTGTATACCTTGTAATGTAATGGTATACTTGTACATGTAATGGTATACTTGTACATGTACTTGTATACCTTGTACATGTACTGGTATACCTTGTACATGTACTGGTATACCTTGTCATGTACTTGTATACCTTGTACATGTATGGTATACCTTGTACATGTACTTGTTACCTTGTAATGTACTGGTATACCTTGTACAATGTACTGGTATACCTTGTACATGTACTTGTATACCTTGTACATGTACTGGTATTACCTTGTACATGTACTGGTATACCTTGTACATGTATGGTATACCTTGTACATGTACTTGTATACCTTGTACATGTATGGTATACCTTGTACATGTACTGGTTTTCCCTTGTACATGTACTTGTATACCTTGTTACATGTACTGGTTATACCATTGTACATGTACTTGTAATACCTGTACTTTGTATGGTATACTTTGTACATGTACTGGTATACCTTGTAATGTACTTGTATTACTTGTACATGTACTGGTATACCTGTACTGTACTGGTATTATTTTGTACATGTACTTGTATACCTTGTACATGTACGGTATCCCTTGTACATGTATTGTATACCTTGTACTTTGACTGGTATACCTTGTACATGTACTGGTATACTTGTACATGTACTTGTATACCTGTACATGTATGGTATCCCTTGTTACATGTACTTGTATACCTTGTACATGTACTGGTATACCTTGTACATGTACTTGTATACCTTGTACATGTACTGGTATACCTTGTACATGTACTGGTATACCTTGTACATGTACTGGTATACCTTGTACATGTACTGGTAGTAAAGAAAGACATTATATTATCGTAATAACATACCTTAGTGTGAACCAGTAAGTCATGTGTAGCAGCTAGACATTTTATTATTTAGGAAACGTTTCGCTCTTTATGATGAGTTTTGTTCTGTACATGTTGGAACTTTTTTACGATTTACGTGATGTTCGGTGTTTATTTTGGAGGTTCATTTTGGAGGTTCATTTTGGAGGTTCATTTTGGATGTTCATTTTGGAGGTTCATTTTAGAGGTTCATTTTGAAGGTTCATTTTGGAGGTTCACTTTGGAGGTTCACTTTGGAGGTTCATTTTGGAGGTTCATTTTGGAGGTTCACTTTGGATGTTCATTTTGGAGGTTCACTTTGGAGGTTCATTTTGGAGGTTCACTTTGGAGGTTCACTTTGGAGGTTCACTTTGGAGGTTCACTTTGGAGGTTCATTTTGGAGGTTCATTTTGGAGGTTCATTTTGGAGGTTCATTTTGGGGTTCACTTTGGAGGTTTTATTTTGGAGGTTCATTTTGGAGGTTCACTTTTGGGGGTTCACTTTGGATGTTCATTTTGGAGGTTCATTTTGAAGGTTTATTTTGGAGGTTCACTTTGGAGGTTCATTTTGGAGGTTCATTTTGGAGGTTCACTTTGGAGGTTTATTTTGGAGGTTCATTTTGGAGGTTCATTTTGGAGGTCATTTTGGGGGTTCATTTTGGGGGTTCATTTTGGGGGTTCATTTTGGAGGTTCATTTTGGGGGTTCATTTGGAGGTTCATTTTGGAGGTTCATTTTGGAGGTTCATTTTGGGGGTTAATTTTGGAGGTTCATTTTGGGGGTTCATTTTTGGAGGTTCATTTTGGAGGTTTATTTTGGAGGTTCATTTTGGAAGGTTCATTTTGGAGGTTCATTTTGGAGGGTTTATTTTGGAGGTTCTCTTTGGGAGGTTCAAATTTGGATGTTCATTTTGGGGGTTCATTTTTTGGGGGTTCATTTTGGAGGTTCATTTTGGAGGTTCATTTTGGAGGTTCATTTTGGGGGTTCATTTTGGAGGTTCATTTTGGAGGTTCATTTTGGAGGTTCACTTTGGAGGTTCATTTTGGAGGTTCATTTTGGAGGTTCATTTTGGAGGTTCATTTTGGAGGTTCATTTTGGAGGTTCATTTTGGAGGTTCATTTTGGAGGTTCATTTTTGGGGTTCATTTTTGGGGTTCATTTTGGAGGTTCATTTTGGAGGTTCATTTTGGAGGTTCAATTTGGAGGTTCATTTTGGGGGTTCATTTTGGAGGTTCATTTTGGAGGTTTGTAAGCCCAAGTCTCAATGGTTGTGAATCATATGATTCGTGATTCACATCTGTGTGAGATCAGCTACACGCTAACTTGTGAATCATATGATTCGTGATTCACATCTGTGTGAGATCAGTTACACGGTAACTTGTGAATCATATGATTCGTGATTCACATCTGTGTGAGATCAGCTACACGCTAACTTGTGAATCATATGATTCGTGATTCACATCTGTGTGAGATCAGTTACACGCTAACTTGTGAATCATATGATTCGTGATTCACATCTGTGTGAGATCAGTTACAAGCTAACTTGTGAATCATGATGCGTGATTCACATCTGTGTGAGATTAGTTACACGCTAACTTGTGAATCATATGATTCGTGATTCACATCTGTGTGAGATCAGCTACACGCTAACTTGTGAATCATGATGCGTGATTCATTCGTGAAAGGTTTTCGTAATTGCTAATAAATATGGTGGAATTTCACGAATAAAAAATTACCTCAAGAAAACGGTCAGTTAGCGCAAATAATATATACTGTAAACGGAATATACCGAGAGAGAATATCTGTACACAAAATCAGGGACGTACAACGGTAAACGGGAGAATATTTCCGGCAGTATTTATTGATTTATTTAATTTATTTATTTATTTATTTATTTATTTATTAATTTGAACATGATACAGGGAAGTACAGGAATACAGTAGTTAAAGTGCAACATGCCGAAGCCCCTTGTATTTAGAGCATTATGGGCAGGTTAAAATTAACTTAAGATTAACTAAGCAATGATATATTCAGTGGTACAAAAATTATTGTTAACAGATAACAATTTAGTACAAGTTAGTATTACAAAGACAGGTCATTTGGTCATTTACTGTGTTGCTGAGTAATCAGTAGAATGGAGTATTA